GAGATGACATGGTCTTTCACCTGTGACCTGTCTTGAAAGTGTTAATAGGTTAATCATCTTCAGACTATAGTCCTCAACCAGTAGTAAGGCAACACATCATCCATGTGCAGTAAACCCCATGAGGCTCATTCTTTTCCTCAACACTGCTTTGTTTAAATTTTTTTTTTCTTTGTTCGTCAAGATTTATGGAATCTTTATGCTTATCATTTTAAACTTTAGTTATCATTCATAGTGAAGTCTTTCTTACCTTTATTTTATTGATTGTGAGATTGAAATCAAGAAATTTTTAAACATTTCATTTTAAATGTTTAATTTGATTTCTCCTCTGAATCTAATTACAAGTTTTTGGGACACGTAATTCTGAGTCTGTGATATTATTTCTTTCCCAGTACCATTCTCCACTGTTATTAATCAGGCCATTTGGTTTCATTAATTACTTTTCAGTTTCATTATATCAATGATCAAGGCCTACTTACCATGGACAAAAAAAAAACCTAAATGGTTTTATGGATCATGTTTATTATGAATTCATGTATCCACATCTCTTACATCTCATAAGGTTCTGACACTCCTCAACAGGAGTCATCCACTATTACAATACTGTTGGAAGGCACTCTGATGATTAATGATGTTACTACCATTGTGATCCATATGGTTAATTCCATTCTGATCTCAGATCCTGGATTTCTGGCTTCCTGCTTTTGTTGCTTCAGCTGAGCTTGTCCCATTTTTAGATTAATTTGGCCAACTGTTTCCACTATTATAGATTATATTTTACTCATCACTAGCTACAACTTTTACCCGTTGTTCTAACAACGTTAAGACGGCTTATCGACTTCTTGAGAAGAATTCTAAGAAGAAAGTAAACCTACAGACATCGGTCTTGTTTAACAAAATCTGCCTACAAGAAAATCTGTCACCAAAGTACACCAACATGCTAAATAAGTAAACACAATGTGATTGTGTTAGTGATTGCTCATTTTTATGTTACATTATGTTTGAGCTCTTTACTTTATTCTCACAAACTCAAATACAGAGGAAATCAGAACTATTCTGTTGTAGATACCTTGTCAAATCTCCTGTTATTCAATGAACCTATCACACTGTTCTAAGGAAAATCAGTTTGACCTGAGTATACCATGATTTCTAGCTATTAATAACTTATCTGACTTTAGTGGTATCATTATGACTTGAAGCTCTTAGTTTAACTAAAGGGCCATCTAAAGGTTGTCTAGACAGTTTTTGTCTCAAGACTTTCAGTTTAATTGCTTAGGTAGCAAATCATTAAAATGATTAATATTAGTATTCAAGAGTGCAATATATGAGTAAAGCTAGCTATAATTTATTACTTATTTGCTTATGTCTTAGTTTTATAGTCTCATAAATGTTATTGTTAAATTTTTCAAGCTCTTTTTCATGATTAAGCTTATTAATGAGAAAAACTGAAACAATTTGACATAGGGAAATTGATACCCAAGTTTATTCTGGAATTATGTATAGCACTTGCAAAATATGAATGGGATTAATACTTTGTGAAGTAGCCCTTTGTCTTACAGTCCTGACTTGTTGGATTGAAACCTACTATCTGTATTAGGGAGTCCCAGGAAGTGGGTTTACTGGGTCTCTTTCACAGGAATTGGTTGTGACATGGATACATAAACTTTACCAGGCCGTAATATTGTTGTAACACCCTATTAACTTATGTCAAGTGTATGTATCAGTGCTGTGTTTTTGAGGCATATGGTCACACTTGCACAACTCCTCAGACCTTATTTTAATCCAGCAAACCTTTAGTTTTCCATATATAAAAGAGTCAAATTTTAAGTGTTGTGATGACACTCCTGAAGTTGGTCTTAGGAGTAAGAAGTTTCAGTGGCTTGCTTTTTTCAGGAATTTTGGACTGTTGTATGGCTACATAATCTTTTGTTCCAGTAACTGGATTTGGTAAACTTTTCATGTACATTCTTTTTCACCATATGTTTGCCAAGTTAACTGCTGCAATGAAATCAGTCACATATGTGGTGTTATTAATAATAACATAATTTGCTAAAATTCTATAAATTAGGAACTGTTTGAGAGTATACTCCATGATCAAGTTGTGGTCTTATTTGGCTGAGCAAGATTCTTGAAATAATGTATATTTATAGATATTTACATGTTTACCTAAAGGTTTAGTTTGTTCTAATTTATAAGTGTATGTATTTAGTTATTATATGTCCAACAATGAAAACTATGCATTTTCATGTTTTTATATGAGATTAAGTAGAAAGATAATATGATTTTTTGAATTTTATAATCTTTTGTCTTTATAAGGAATTAGACACGAGTCCTGCTGCAGATCGAGAAAATAATCTTGAAGGCTGGGAGTCAGAACTGACAGTGAAGTACATCAATGGTATGTCTTAGATATAGTCAGAATCTTAGTTTGATCATTTGTTGATATGTTATACTTTTTTGGCTTAATTTATTAAAAGTGTAATTAATGATATCTTAGTAATTTAGTACTTTTGATTTTTTTATCCATAAATTTCATGATTGTTTTTAAAAAGTACTATCTTCTAGTAATTTAATTTTGAAGTACTAACACCATAGTATTTCAGCTTTTTTTTTCACACTGACTACAGTTTACATATGTTTCAGTGAATTTTGTTACAAGACCTTCATGCCAAAAATTCTGTTTTCTTTTTAAACAATTACGAGAGAAAGTTAGTGTCAAATTACATCAGGTAAGTTTCTGATTATTCCAACTATCCAAGTCTGATGTGAGAATAGTTCATCACTTGAATGTAATCAATTAATCAACCCGAGGATTAATCAGTTAGCATATTCCACTAATCTCCCAGCTCTAATCTTGATAATTGTCTCATACTATAGAAAACAACATCATTGTTTCCAGGCAGTATAAAGGGGAGTGTATTCTGATCATAAACCAAGACTTGTATTTCTGTACCATGAATTTATAATTTTGCAACCTTGAAACCTTTACAAAAATATGGTTCATTTTGCTTATGTTGTCTATTAAGTTTTAGAACATTTGGTTGATTTGTACTAGGTTGCAAGCAGACTTTCATTAAACCTGTTCCGAGCAGGTACAAAAAAAAAACCTATATGTATAATTATAACTTTATATTGTATCTAGTTCTGAACTAAACTCCTATCAATAAAACAACATTGGGGTCTTAAAGCAGTTTAGAAGATCTGTATATATAGATTTTAATAATATTGATTGAGACTTAAGATTGGAGATCTAAGCTGTATAATGTTTATGTTTAGTATTGTTGCCACAATGGAAACATGATTACTTCCACTAGTCTAAAGCTCTATGGGTTTAGGCATAGATCTAATATAGATAATAACATGTCCATATGCTGCCTCAGTTTGATATTTATACTCATGACCACTTTGATCTAAATCTATTTGGGCTAGCTTATTAAACTGTATGTTTCAGCTACGTGACAGTATTGCATGAAAGCCCCAAGGTTTGAAGTTGGCCATGATGATTTGAATTTTCGTGTATTTAAAGAGAGAGAAAAAGTTTCCAATAAATGGACACTTCCTAAATTCTTTGGGGCAGGGGTGGGGAGAATATTGATTTTAGCACCCAAAAGTCTCTTCTGACACCTAGAAATTCATATTGCACTTAAAAATATTAATAAAAGTTCATTTAATGACAGGATTATTACTAAGATATTTTTATTGAAAATTCATGAAATAATTGTTTAACAGATTATTTTGGAGGTTTATGCACAGACCATAGATTGAGAACTGTTAAGCTAGGTAAACGTATTTAGCCACATTGAAGTAGCCTTACCTATTACGAAGTCAATATAATTATATATTTAACTAAGACAGGTAAAATATTTAGTATTTTGAATAGATCTTGTGCTTTGTGTTAATGATTTAGAAATATTGTACAATATTTTTGTTAGATTCATTCTTTGCTGGAGAAATCAGTTGTGTGTTTTTTTTACAGTGAAAGTAATGAATTTATACATTTTTGTAAGAAAAGATTAGGGAATTATTCATTAGAACTGTGCTTTCTTGTTTGCATCTAAGATAAGCAATTTGTAGCCTGATTTTTGGCTACCTTATGACAGTTATGTCCTTTACATGTTTTTCATGCTTTTTTCACAGTTAGAGAGATCCTTTACCTTAGTTGTTATCTTGCAAGCTAACAATATGACTTGCAAAGATTTACATTTAAAGAGTTCACACATCACTCAAAGTATCACACAATCAGTAATGTTCTGTAAAATTTGGGTATTTGTGGTGTGAGGGAGTCTTTTTAAATTGGCAAGTCATTGTACATTTTATACCAGTTTTAATTTTAACACTACTGTTGTATTATTCTCTCTTTATATTAAGAGATAGTAACATCAGTTAAGCTTACTTATATATTTGCTAATTCACCATGTATGTATACTTATAACTTATAATTCTAGACTAACATTCCTAGCAATAAAACAACATTGGGGTCTTAAGCTTTTGACTTATTCATTTGAGTCTCACTCTCCTGTGAAATTAATTGATAAAATACAAAATGCTGACAATTATCACTCAGCATGTAGAATGTCTTTTGCAATATTATGAAAGTAATAGAACATAATTACTAGAATGTGGCTCAGTATGATGAGTGATAGTTAAATTTGTGTCATCTGTAATATTCAGGATAAATGGGGCTCATTAAAGTTCTTTTTGTACCTAAGCTCTTTGAAATTTTAGTTAGGTTAAGGAGGTTCTTATAACACAAATGGAAGCCTATCAGGTAATGGGAATAGAAAAGTTTTATGGATGAGATTTTTTTGTTAGGTTTTGATGTAAAATATCCAAGCTTGCAGAGAAAAGAAAGTTCGTTTGGCTTTAAAAGTATGATGAAAATCATGTTGGACTATAAATGATTTATTTTCCTCTTAACTACGCTGTCATAAATCTCTGCTCCAAAGGCTTTTCATTTAATGCCAGAAGTCATCATTGTGTAAGTCAGAGCTCTAACTGAATTGTTTTTTGTATGCACTATAAGAAATTCAGTTTTATTATGTATAATGCTTAAGTTGGGAAAACAAGAAAGCTCATTAAGTCTAACAAATATCTTTGAAATCACATTTAACCTCAGATATTTTTTATGTTATTCCTCTTAATTATCCAGTTACAGATATCAATTCAGAAGTGTAATAAATATATCAGTCCTACCTTTTGTTCTAAACAAGTCACTGCTATAGATAATGATGTGACATTTTAAAATTCTTTGGGGATGTTGCTTTGTTTTGTATGCATATTAGGGTAGTCATTAGTTTTGAAGTTTTGATTTGCAAACACTCACCCCTCATTTTGTTGAAACATATAAACAAGTAATCTACACAGGATTTTAATCATATTGAATAATATATGTAGAGGTGGTCAAAGTAGTTGAAATTTTATGACTTAGCTTGCATTATAACTGCATATTCTGAATATTACAGAATTTTCTAGAATATTATTATGGAATATTCTAGCACATTCTGTAATACTGTAGCATGTTCTTGGAATGTTCCAGATTAAGTTACATTATTCAGAATATTCAAGATCATTCCATGTATAAAGAATCCATACTGTCACTGTATTATATCTTACAACTTGTTCTGACATGTGTTTTCAAAGACTGTATGAGGTTTTTCCTTTGGTTCAAGTATTGCAAATTTCAGTTGATTCCATTATTCTTTGGGATACATGGCTTAGTCCAGATATGAAACTGTAGCTGACCAAAATGAAGTAGCAGAAGCCATAGAGAAAGTTATGGACAGTGTCATTGAGTTTGCTATAAGACAACTCAGGTCAGCCAACGTAGAAACGATTATCGAAAGATTCGTGAACTAGATATAATAATTATTGGTGGCATCCCTCCTCGTGGAGTGTGATTTATAGCACCTGGAGCGCTGCATTGTACACAGTGTATGGCCTAGGCATTATATGCCCACAAAATCTGGATGTTTATGGGACAGGTTAAGCTCACTGACTGTGAGAAAAGAGAACTTTATGGCATCTGCATCTTTGTTGTTTGAGTCTGTCTTAGGGCATTGGTCATTGCTCCTGATGCCATTTCTGCTCCTTGCAATGATCTTAACTTCATACAGTGTCTCGTTAAATATGAAAAGGTTAATTCTGCTTCTTTCAAAATCTGCCTGTTAAAAATTTGGTGGACATTTATGGTATTTAATCTCAATGAGGAATTCATTGGTTTGGAATCTTTTTACTTAGCTATATCCATAGAGATAAAATGAGCAATACTAAAGGCACTAAGTGAGAAGGAAGGCATGAATGAACCTCCAAATCACATCCAGTTTAATATCAGAAAGTCTGAGGACATGTCATTTGAAGATTTCATCAAAAAGAACACAACAGACTTCTTCACATGCCTCAAAATTCCATCTGGTTTTCTGGATTATAACCAAGTGTCATGAGCTTAGAGGGGACACAGAGAGGCTCTACAAACAGTTAAACATTTGAATGTGGTAAATGAAATGGGTGTTGCACTTATTGAGGAATTTCATGCTATCATAACAAAGAAAGTACAGAAACAATTCTTCTTTCAAGTTTGCAAGATATTAGAAGACACTTGCCCAACAGCAAAAAAGAAACAATAACAATGCAAAAGTGATTAATCATAATAATATGGTTTTATACCACATAGTACATGTGGTACCAGGCCACTACATTCTAGAATTTGAACCTCATTTAGAAACATCTGAATGCTTTTCAATACGTTGGAACAAAATTAAGGGTGAGAGTTTTAGAATTTTAATTCTAAATTTTACATGCAAATAATGACCACTCTAATGCGTATTGTAGGATATTGATATTTTTATTGTAACTGTTTATTGTTATGTAGACAGACAGGTGTGAGGGTCTGGGGATTACTGCCAAATTTACTTACTCCTTTAGATAGATGAACTTAAAAGTAAAGGTATTCCTTTGGTAAGAATAGAAACTAACTGTGCTGATATTTTTATCTCTAGGTAAATACTGGACTTGTATTTGTTTAACACACTTGAGAAATACCTACCATAACAGTGTCCGTAGCTCATGGGATCAGCACTGAACATTTTTTGTGATTGAGATATTATTGGAAATAAACTCGCGTAAATACCTTGAATGTGAAAAGAATGTTATGTATTGTTTATTCTATGATATTTGTCATGAAAGTACAAAATCATTATGTATGATAATAATTGCACATTGATTTTTCAGGAGAAATTACTTTTACGGAATTTACTGATCTCATGGAACAAGATGAAAAGGATGAAAGTCTTGAACAAGTAGAGAGTGCAGAAGAAGTTGATAAAGATCAGAGGAAAAGTATATTTCACTTTATTGATTGTATGTTAATTTTACAAGTCAATTTTATTATAGCATTTTGATTTTTTCCCCAAGGTAGTTGGGTGTAATGATGTACTTGTGGTTAGACTTGTTGCCTAAACAGAGTTTTGGAATTTCCTGAGTAAAATTTCTATAACAAGTTTTCTCCCAATAACAGATTACCAAAACGTTAATTACCCATGATAGAAAAGAAGTTTAAAAATAAGATTTTTAACAGAATATGAAAAAAATTATAAATATAAAATTTTAATAGGCATGTCATATGAAACTCAATTTAAAACTATATCATTGGTGATTTTTCTTGGTAAGTGTTGAGTAGTGAGTTAAGTTTAGTCTTTTTTTTTTACATTATTCTTTGGACTGATTAACCAAAAAGATCTTATTATCATAATAAAATTATATTTTCTTATATGTAATTTAATGCTTGCCCATATTTTTATTACACATTGTGTAATGGCTAGACCTGCAGCATGTAAAACTAGAAGAGAGAGAGAAAAGACTGTAGCAGTGTGCTAGCTGGGACATGGTAGACCTGAAGTGAAAGATTATCACTCACTGTTGACTCTAGGACTATGTCTAGAAGGTGTCATCTAAAGTAATTGTTGGATCTTGAGGAATACCTTTTCCTATAACAGCTGTCTTCTTGATGTTGATGGTGAGAGAAAACATTTTCCACTCATATAAGATGTGGTCTGTGAGTCTTTATGGCAGGTTTTTGTTGTGGGCAGCAAGGTCGGTGTTGTCAGTAAAGTGAAGCTTTGTGATCCAAACTTGTCTAACTTTGGTCGTGGCCTTCATTTATGACATGTTGTAGAGCTTGCCATCAGATCTTACACCATCTTCGACATGCTCAAAACATATTTCAGTAGTACTGAGAAAAAGATCCCAAAGAATGTGGGTGGAAGAATACATCCTTGTTTCTCTCTGCTTTTAAACTCAAAACTCTCCAAATTATATCTGTTGAACTGGACTATACCTTGCATGTTTTCTTGGAAGTAGCTTATCAGACTAAACATTGTTGGGGGCATCTGATCTTTGTGTCCTTGAACAGACCTGCTGACAGTGTTAAATGCCTTGGTCAGGTTGACAGAGGAGATGTACAGTAGTTTGTTTGATCTCTGCACTATTCATGCAGCTGTAATAAAGAAAATATCATGTTCATTGTTGACATTCCAGTGTTAAATCCATACTGAGACTCTGGACACATACAATTGGTGAGTTATTGTAGTCACATCATGAAGTCTTTGGCAATACTTTTCCTGTGATGCTGAGTGGCAAGATGCCTCTGTAGTTGTTGCAGTCACCCTTGTCTCCTTTGTTGTGTAGAGCATTATGTTGTTTGTGCTGCATATTGCCTGTGGAATTTTGCCTTCTTTACAACTACAACACTATAGTAGATGTTGATATGATAAGAGACATGTCTTTCCACACATGAGAATCTCTGCTGGGATGCCATCTTTTACCTCTGTCTTGACCACTTGCTATCAAGTCGATGGCTTTGTTTAACTCTTCTTTAGTATGACCCGAAATCTAACTCAGTCAGTATTGAAGAGTTGGAAATTGTTCCAAATTTTTTTAAAGATGTCTGTTTCTGGGGAGTACAATTCTATACAGTGTTTGACCTAGTGTGACATCTGCTTATTTCTGTCTGTGATGACTTCACCATCTTGCAATTTCAAAGAGGTGACTTTGTTGACAGTAGGGACTTTACATAGCTCCATACAGTTATTTAGTTGTTCAGATTGTGATTAAATTTAATTCTTTCTATGTATAAATTGTGCCATCTAAAAACAAAGTACCAGATGTTAATGAAAAATACACTTCAGTATATTGCCTTAACAATATTGAATATTTTCATGTGGGATATTAATGTAAGAATATTGAATCAAAATATTAAACTGATATAAAGAAGCAACTCCCTGTCATCTACAGTTTATTGAGGAACTGTGTTATTTTCTTTTTCAAGGTTTTGAACACAATGATGCTACATGGATAATATAATGTTAGATTAAAAAGTATAATAATGAAGGTGAGTTGCTGGAACTACAAGATACATGTGCTATGACAATTAGATCAAGACAGTAGGATAGAACCCCTACCATAATAATGATAAAGTGTACTTGTTTTTTGTTTTTGTAAGTAAAAACTGATTAACACACAAGATATTTTAAAGTGGAAATAATTCCACAGCATTTATTTTGACTGAGATAACCTTAGAAAACAATCAATCTAATTAACATTTCCATTTGGTAAAATGGTAATTACAGCTAGATATACATTTACAACTACATATTGTGATTGGGTGAACAAATGACTAATCTTATGTAAGGGATGTGTTTCATGTCTCAGTTTTTCAGCTGAATATTCAAGTGAAATTGCTATTTAACATTATTACGATCATAAAAATAATACTATATTATTAGCAAACAATATAGTGCAGACATACTTACATCATGGCCTGTCTGGATGTTTTATCCATTGACAATGAACTATTAACTTTAACATTAACTACACAGTATTCAATATATTATATTGAATGCTGTGTAGTTAAAATATTTCAAGTTAATATTTTATATTTTCCCTTGAAGTTGTAATGATGAACTTAAACTTAAAATCTTTTGATAACTTTAAATCTGTTTTTGTACACCACTCTACTTCACATTGTTCATTTGATGTTTTAATTCTGTAAAGCAGCATCTAGTACATAATTACTTAAGTAAAATCAAAACTCATTCAGCAGCTTATAAATTAACTCTTTATCTTCAAAACAAATACAGGAATTGAATGAAGCAAAATGGCCCAAGAAAGTATATTGGAGGATGTTTTTTGCAAAGCAGTCTAGGCATGCTTGTATATCAAAATATGTATATACTGTATTTTTCGGAATATAAGACTCACCAGTGTATAAGATGCACCCTTATTTTGAA